ATTTGATTGGCTCCGAACCTAAAATTTTAAGGCCGGATACATATTTTAAAATTTGAAACAGGTTTGTGTAACAATCTATCTTTAGCTTGTATGCACTATACATTAGATCATACTATGAACCTTTTATTTTTTTTAACTTTTTAGTTAGTCTTTTACCTAGATTTACAAAATATTTTGTGCTTTTAATTTTTACTTGATTTTAACGAGACATATAAATTGATTTAAATAAGAATATTTTTTTATCAATAATTGGTATTTCGCTGCTCATCATATCTAATTATTAGTTTGGACGAGTGTAATTTTTAATAGTCATTGTACTCTTAAATCTTTTATTACATTCAATTTATTCATATCAATTTAGCGATCTATATATTTTTCAAATTGCATTACACACTTTATAAATTAATTGATAAAATTATAATATGCAACTTTCTATTTTGTAACAAATAAAGAATTTTTTTTTGTGAGACATTATTGTATAAATTGAGAACAAAAACCTAAAAAAGAAAAAGAGGTATATAAACTTGCCAGCTAGATAAATTCACATGATAAATTTGTGTTTAACTAATTACTCTCTCCTTCAACTGATTACTTTTTCACTGATTTTTAGTATCGATATCCTATCAGGTAATTATTTAAGCGCACAATATTGGTAAATAAAGAAAAATATCGATTTCCATTTTTTTCAATGAAGTTAATACTGTGCGAGTGACATTAACTCTGGTAAAAGAAACTTGCTGCCATATAAATATTTATATATAATGCACATGAACGCTATTTGAAAAATTAGGTTTATCAAAAAATCAAAACTTGTTTCAAAATAATGTTCATGCACGTACTCTAATTAATGTGCATATACTCAAAATAATGTGCAGGTGAGCATTATTACGTGAAAATACGGTAATAAAAAATATAAAAACTATCTCAAAAATTAAAATTAAATTTTTTATTAAATTTGAGTAAATTTTAATATATTAAAATTTTTTAATTATAAATAAAAGTTGATTTGTAAAAAAAAAGATTGCATAAAGCTATCTAAGGCTAAACATATTATGAGATTAACCAACAGTTGTCTGTTACCTTTAGTCAAACAAAATTATAAAATTTGGATTTAAAAATCAAAACAAGTAATTAAACCCAATTATCTCAAAATAAGATATATTTAAGTTTTTGTTCTTTTTACTGCAAAGACCCTATATATGCAGATTAAATATCTAAATAACAGATAAATATTTAGAATACAAAACTTCTAAAATATATCTAATTTGCTACTATAGATTTGCAATAAACTGGTAATACAGTATATTAATATATAGTTAGTTATATATTGACAAAATATCAATCAGATATTTGTAAAATAATTATAGAATAGACCAACCCGATTATAATTTAGAAGTATTGACTATATAAAACAGTTTCAAAGTTGTGAGAAACTTGATATTTAAGGCGTAATCCGCAGCTAAAGGGTTTAATTAAATTTCATAGTAAAAATCGGCGCAGTTTTACTATAGAAGTGTGCTTCCAACCAAAAAATCGAAACTCATGACTTATCCAACCGATTGTAATATTTTTACCACCATTAGAATCAGAAAAATTAGTTCTACAACTTTTATTAAAAGCCAGACGAATGTTTAAATAATAAAAAAAATATACTTTTATGAATTTTCGATTTTGTTTATTATAAGATTTGCCATTTTTTTTAGGGGAATTTACGAATAAGGGCACGGAAAGTGAAAATAATTACAAATACGGGCTCAAATTAAAAATAATTACATTTAAGGGCCTAATTGTTAAAAAATATTACATGGGCTAGGTGCTGCAGAAAGGGGGGAAATTAACAAATTTTTTAAAATTAATTTTTTTGCATAAATTAATTTAAAATAAGATTAGGATTATTTTTTACTTAAGACACAAAAGTGGTTGTATTAATAAAATTTTGCAGTATAGCTTTTCAAAATTTGCAATTTCTTATGATTTATTATCAAATTTATAACATAAAAATTGATTTTCCGAAGATCTTTTTTTTTTGTTGATTTCCCCCTTTTTTGCAGCACTCAGCCCACATATAAGGGCCCAAAATAACTGCGATGAGGTTCAAGATCGTTATTAAGAAATGTAAGTTAAGCGCATAAAAAAATGTAACTATCGATTGTAAATTAGTAATTTTTTTTTAATTTAATAAATTTCATTTTCTTTGTATAAAATTACTTATTGTTATAACAAACCACTATGTCAAGTAAAGCACTGCGAATTGGCATGATATTTACTAATATGGAAGATGTTCGTTCAGCTCTAAAGAGCTATTCTGTTGAAACTTCTTCGCCTTATAAATAATTGTGCTAGTTTAACACTATTTTTTATACAATATTTAAGCGAAAATGATTATAGCCAGCGCTTCATTTACCCTTCAATCTAATAATCGGTGTATAAATAACTCTAAATGCCTATAATTCAACAATTGATAATCTTATAATCGCGTTTGCTATCGTTATAATTCAAATGGTCAGTACTTTGTGGTGCAGTAATCCCGCGATCACATTTTTTCAGCCATCGATAGATTTGGGCCCTTATTTTTTAAAAATTAGGCCCTTATATGTAATTATTTTTAATTTGGGCCCGTATTTGTAATTATTTTCACTATCCGGGCCCTTATTTGTAAATTCCCCTTTTTTTTACCATTTCAGAAGTGATCTCTTAATATCTGTATTTCAATCTTATATTATAGTTTATGAAAATATGATACAGTATGCAGATTTGCTTGGCCTTATTCCACAGAAAGAAATTTGTTCAAAATTATCTCAAATTTTGAGTGATTAAATAAAGTACATTATTACAATCTATTTGCCAATTGATCAGTATAAAACAAAATGATCATAATTGAAAATTTAATCGTTCATTGTATCAGGTTTCAATAGATATAGCGAACACACTCTAAGTTCGCATTCTCTAAGTACATATTTCATTCTATAAAGTGTAGTTGTTTAATTAACCGATCAAATGTTATCGGAAGTTATAATATTTTATCGGAATTATTGCAAATAAATTTTCTGAGTGCACGATTTTATAAATGCACTGTTTCTGACAGTGTGTGCTTAGAGAGTATTCATCGTATCACAAGAAAAAATAATGATATAATAATTTGGAAATTTATGTCTGGATCACTGACGCGCAGAACGCACGGCTTGACCACCTCGTTGTTGTTGTTGCTGCTGTTGAGGTTCCTCAGCTGGACCACCTGTCAGTAACAATATGACAAGAGGCAGAAGGTACCACCTATTTATATAATAAAAGCACTTAAAAAATAGATATTATTAAAATAAGGACTTAAATCGAATTTATGTACACATACCAATATTTCTGTAAAAAGCTTTTTTCTTCTGGTGGTTTTTCAACTGTCCCATCTGGTCTTATAGGCATTGCTCCATTTAGTTTCGGCCTTTGTTAGCCAAAATATTTATATTTATATATGGTAAAACATAGTGATGTTAAAACCGTGACCAAATTACAATTTGATTACGAAATAGGCAGCATATAAAATACCTAGCTCCGTTCGCAGCCTTAATTATTTGAACAACAGTTTTAAAATTTACCGTTTGCTATTTGATTGTGCCATATAATAAAATTGTTATAAACCATAAAATGATAAAAATTATTCCATTTCATATAACACAATAGACTCACTGATGTCAAAACAGATGTACTGTTACATTGATCAATAGAAGTATAATAATCAAAGTGAAACACGTTGTTTCCATTTAAATGGATTATGATCTCATCTTCGAATTTCGATGCTTTCAGCAAACACTATAATTTCGTAGAAATTCAATTTAAGATATTGATGGTACTATCGTAATACCATTATATGCAGATATTATACTAACCATCTTTGTAAAAGATTCCATTACTTTCTTCGGGTTTTGCTCGTCTACTAATTTTATTAGATAGTATGGATCATTGTTCGTTTTATCCGCATTTTCAAATTCGTTTATAGATAACACATCTCCAGAATCATAATACTTTGCGACGGCGCGGGATAATGTTACAACAACTTCTCCACGTTTTAGATATTTTGAGTGGTGAGGAAGCTTATGATAAACACCATATTTAAGTTCGTTAGGAAGATAAGTAATAATTTGGTATTTTATAAAGTTATAAACTTTTTGTTGATTAATATGTAAAAATTGTTTTTTGTATGAGTTAAAAAATTTTAAGAACCATATGTCAAATGTTGTGCAGTAAGTTTTAAAAGAAGGAAT